GATTTGTTTTGTTTATATATAGTCACATGGGGCTCCACAGTCTAGTTTTTCTAAATCCCAAAACAAGAGTTGAAACCACTATAAGCCCTCTGGATTCTTAAACGTATCTTGCCTTGACCAGAATTTGCTTTGTTATGGTAACTGTATCTTTCAGGACTATTTTGCAGTTGAACACCACACTGAGGTTTGGATCTTGTGTTGTCACTTCCCTTCCTGCTGCTGTCATGCACGTTGACAGGGTAGTGGCTTCACAGTTCCAAAACCTTTCTGAATTGGGATTTAGAGATGGCCTATTAAAGCTGGGAAGAGCTGTCCATCTAAAGTGCAATTTTTAACCTCAAACATGTGTTACATGCCTGTCTCTAAATGGTCTCATCTGTAGAGGAGTAGTGAAGTATTCCTGCTTTCTAGCTGTGGGAAATAATACCCGTAGTTTATATGAAAGAATCCCAAAGTCTTGTTCCTCTAAACCAATTATTTTCTTTATGCATTCCTAAAGTTTCTGGGATTTATTCATAAACCTTTATTGCCATTCTTTTCAATTAATAGTGTTATATAAGCCAGCTGTCTGTGTCTTCCATGTATGTCTTCCTATTGCATTAACTAGAGAAAACACTTTAACTTCTTGAAGAAATAGGTAGCTGAAAGTACGTTCATCAGTTACGGAAATATCCTAAAACATTCACAGTGTCCATGCATGCTTTAAAGCTTAGAAGTATGTTGGACTTAATGGTATCAGTCAGCAGAACCCTAACATTTTCTTTCTGCCTTACTTGACTTTTTAGATGGTAGATGTAATTGAAAATTTCTGATTTATAAGATAACAAGGCTTCAACTGAAAAGTGTTTCCCATTGTATATTAAATATCTTGTGTCTTGAAACTCACTTTAGGTTTTAACACTTAACGTGTTTGAAAGTGTGCTTTGATGCATCTTATAGTCTTTATTTGTTGGAATCACTGTAGACTGCTAATCAAAAATACAGAAAAAGGCATGGAAATAAGTATGATCAAGAATCAAATAATAGTTTAGAGTTCAGCAGCTGGCAAAAGACTGATAAAGGAGACATGAGCTGTACGTGGAATACCCTAACCAGCTGGGATGCTAGCAGCGGAAATATTGTTCCTTTTGTGTTCTACCCTGATTAAAATTTAAAGAGAGAGCATAGTTAAATGTAAGCAGTTTATTTAGGAATTTGTAATTTAGACTCCTTTGATATGCATTAAGATCAAAGCAGTCTGGCAGCAAACGCTATCTGAAAGGAGACGCTTTTAAGAGCTAAAAATACTGGTTTGCTTAGGGAAAAAGTCTGGAAAAATGCAGCATTGCACATGAGATCAAGTGCATGATGCAGGAGGGAAACATATTGGGTCATCTGTTTAACTTCCTGAATTCAGTTTTTGCAAACAAAAACTAAGTGAGACTGATCCTCTAACTAAAGGATCCAGAAAAGCCTTTGGTTTTTGGTTTGCTTGTGTAATGTTGTGGGCTAAAAGAAAACCACTTGAAAAACAATTTTTTTTTTTTTTTAATTCAGACATTTTATTTATTTGTTTACAGCATTTTTTTAATGTATCTGTTTACAGCATTGTCCAGAGACAGTTGCAAGGGTATAATCAAGGGGTGGGAATGTGTATGGAGGCTGATCAGGAGGCAGGAATCTCTCTAGCAAGCTTTGTTGTCACAGAGAGTGCATGTAGAGCTACCATGGTGGCAAACACAGACTGAGGTAGTTAGTATTTCCCTCCTCATGATGTCCAGGAATTGCATGATTTTCCTGCAAACACAAGTGATTTGCAGGAGAGAGAGGAACAGCAGGAGCCAAAGCTATGCTCTAAGAAGTGGGTGTTATACTGTGACTCTGCTTTGGGATGGGAGACTTGTGGTTGCGTGTGTCTGAAGAGAGGTGCTAGGACTGCTGTGTTATGTAAATGGTTGCTAGAGCAGATGGTTTGCTGAAGACTTCCAGCCTGTCTTTCAACAGATTGTCTCAAAACGTTAAGAGTGTTACTGCTTTTAACATGTATGGATATGGATGCATGTAGAAACTATGTAAATACCATTTCTAAAATGGTAATGGGTAGCCAGGCATACTCTGACCATTGGTGATGGTGGGTAATTCCATTTGTGCTGACTAATCCTGGACTTGATTAAATTCCTATCTTAAACATGTGCACTTCAGTGATTATTGTACTGCAGGAATTATACTGGTGAAAGCTGTGTAGATGTTTTTATACTGGTATCACATGCCTCTTTCCAAATAGAATACCTGTGCTACCTTTATGCCTAAATATGCTGTAAAAAAAAAAAAAAAAGGCAAATGGGACTTGAAAATTGGTTGCACCTGTTCTCTTAAGTCTCTAAATCACAGGGGTTGAGTTGGTTATTTTATTTGTTTCTCTATACTTACATGCTTTATGATATGTTAGGGATGCTTTTTCAAAGGCAAAAGGTGAGGCTTTGAATTTGAATAGTGGCTCTTTCCTGTCTGCAAGTAAAATTAATTTAATCTGACTAGATTATTACATATTTTGTTCAGGTTCAGCAACCATTTTATCCATGGTGTTTCACAGTTACTGTGAAGAAAACAGAATAAAGAAAATTCTTAAGTTTATTTAGGTGAGCTATCATTTTAAAAAGTATCAGTGATG